CTTTCATTTTACGACCTTTGATTTGACACTTAGATTATATGTAGAAATAAAAGATAATTATTTTTAAAATAATAGTAAATTTATTGTTAATATTGTATATGTGAAATAAACATAAATCTATTATTTAATATTAATTTTAAGATACGGATTGGTGTAAATTTATTCCCACAATAAAATATAAATGTATATATAAGAAAATATATTTAGTATAAAATAATTAAAATAGTAATTGATATATCTATCTTATGTGGGTTTATTAAATTAATGTTAAAAAATTATAATATAAGCATAGTTTTAGAACACGAACTGGTGATTGACCCAAGTTGGACTCTGGATCACCGTTCCAACCATCTAATCACCAAGTCAACTGCTAAACTTGGTCATTAATTTTACGAACTTTAAATTGTATTTATATTATTTTTATCTTATAACTTATACATAAAATAATTTAAATAAATTACTTTTATGTAATTTTTATACTCATAAGTTTTAATAGTATTATTTTAATCATAAAATTTACCACATAAATATAAATACATAATTTTATTTTTAAAAATAAAAAAATATATATAATGGCAGAATCAAACTGAGTTGACCCGACCAAGTCAATATCCTTGTCGACAGGTCATGGTCAGATTGACCGGGTCCCTGGCTACCCGGTCCCGGGTCGAGCCGTTGGGCCGGTCTTGGCTTAAGAAAATGAATATAAATATATAATTCGAGTATCAAGTATGTACGACATTAAAACGATAAACAAACAGGTTATTTGTCGAACTTCCATATAATGATAAACCAAGAGCTATTATCAAACAATACTATAAATTGTTCGCTTGAAAATAAAAAAATCAAAATTTCTATAATATATATTATTATAAATTATAATCATAAATCAACTGTTTTCAAACTGCCATGCGAATTATCAGACCTGAAAGAAAATTCATAGTATTATTTATAACATATATTTGAGATAAAAAATTGTTAAATAATACCTAGTTACAAATTAATATCTTGTATAACTTTAAAATAATATATATGACTATAATATTGACCACAAATTTTTAATTTTATAATCATTTATTTAGGAATCAAAAATAAATTATAATAAAGTATAAGTAAGAAAAGAGAGAGAAAATATTTTTGTGAATATTATTTTCCGCTAATGTTTCAATATGTTAAATTTTCACGATTTTTAACTATAAACAAGAGATTTAAGTTGAAGAAAGTTGAATTGAATTTTAAATTAAAGAATATAAACAAATTATCCAATCAATCAAAACCACAACGAATAATTTATGTGATCAATCACCCCCTAAATCTCCTGAAAAGAACGGTCCATATTCATATATCCAATCAACACAATGTCATGCAATTACACAGAGCATAACCAAACAAACACTAATAATTGACCGAAAAAGCTACTTGTATAACTTTTTTTGTACAATATTCAATGACAACATGATGTGCCATAATGTGGGTAGTTGAGATGTAAATAAATGTATGATTAAAATTTAACATAATGATACTTTTAACTAATATTGCAAACTACAATTTTACATGTAATTGACAAACCAACTTCTTGAGTCAACAAATTATATCCCACCATTGAGACATCAACTGGATACCTCAAATGAGTTTTCCACCAAACCTTAGCTGGTGGCTGTGCAAGAAAACCAAAAAATAAACAAATAAATAAATAAAATAAAATAAAATAAAATAAAATAAAATAAAAGAAACTTCATTTATGCCAATCTACGTATATATCCATTCCGAGCATGTTAAACTGTCTAGAGATGGGACCATATGAGCTTACATCCACTTATTATTTATTAGTCATGCCCCTGGGCCCTTTCTACTCCTTTTAAACTGCACAGGCAAAGCAGGGAAAATTACCACAGCAACTACTGTAAGATAAAATGACAGGTGAAAAGGATCCAGTTGATGAATTGAAGGCAGGATAATGGGTCCTCCTTCATTCGTACCAGGTCCTAACATCCTGCCTCGCCAGGTTATTACCCTTTGTAATTCCATTAAACCCCTCGGCAAAATCAACTGACGGCATATTGAATGGCGAACCAAACACAAACTGGAAATTCTCACTTTGCCCGAGACTGAACGGTGGATTCACGGCCTTACACTGGTCAAACCCATTTTCAGGGTGGATAATCGAGTGATTGTTATTACCACCCATATTACAACTGTTGTCGTCAAATATGTTGTTGTCCACCAAAACCATCGGCAGTTGCTCCTTTACACAAATTCCAATTTTCCCATCGTTTGAACTCTTATTTCGCTTGGAATAATTAGTATCATAACAGGACATAAGGTCGTCGATCATCTTCCGCCCGTCCTCCGGGACCCCAATGCCATTTATATTAGACGAATGTGAACTGCGAACAGCAGCCTTCGGCTGGACAACAAAAGACTGAGGAAAAACGACGGGCTTCATCTCGCTCACGTTAAAACTCGAAACCCCGAAAGAGGAACTATGCTTGTAAATCTTGTTGTCAATAAAAACAGAGCTCAACTCATGTACGGGCTTTCTCTTCCCAATATTCAATAACCCAAGTGAGGCTGCCGGCTTCTGGTCTTCTTCCACATCGACATCGTACTCCGAGACATCATCAGGGCCGAACGAGCCACTCCCTTCTCCAGGCAAACACTGGTCCGGGTAAAGCTCACGAGCCAAGGCCTCCTCCTGATTAACTATAGCAAGCCAGGTGGCACTCTCTTTCGCAGTCATCTTATCCTGAAGACACTTGGACTGGCGCACGAGCTTACGGATCTTCGCTACATCCGGCGACATGTGCTTGATGACAGCTGTCAGGACTGCGACCTTCCACGCCTTCTTCAAGTCGTGCGGCTTCTTGTAAGGCGGCGGCGGCCCGCCTAGCTGGCGCCACCACTCTTCCTTCCCCGTCGGCCACCAAGGAGGCGGGACCCGTTTTTCGAGAGGGAACCGACGCTGGGGAGGGTTGCAGTGCTGCATGAGGGCAGACAGGAGAGAGCCGAGAGTCGTGTCTTGAAGATCCTGCAAGGTGTGGGGAGTTGGGCCCGAAACAGGAACCGGGCCCTCACGGGTGGAGTGGTACTTGGAGATGGCGGCGGGCCCGTTTCGGTCGAACCGGACGCGATCCTTCCACCACTCGCGGAGGTTGTCGGAGGCTCCGCTCACGGGCTTGCCTTTTTCGGGGATTATGCCGTAGACGAAGCCTTGGGCCTTGCAGACCTCCATCATCTTGAGCATGTACTTGAGGATTCCGTCTTGGGCCCGCGACATCTTCTTGCGGCGGGCCTGCTCCTGGGACTGCCTCTGCTTGGCTGAGTCAGGCCCAGGCCCGGATACACTCTCTTTTGCCTTGTTGCTGCTCTCCTTGAGCCGCTTGTAGAGCATTTTGTCCCGCCACATCCGCCGCTCGAGCTCGTTGACGTCGATTTCGTCATCCGTGTAGTCATCATCAGCGGCCGGGTCGGGCTCGGGATCTGGGCCAGCTGGCAAGATGGGGCAAGGGGAGGAGAAGAAGTCGGGATCGCTACAGAAGCCCATGCCCATGTCCTCAAACAGCATTATCTTGAGTTAAATTTGGATTTTAACGAGATCTTGAATTGTGTACTGTTTTTGTCTCTCTCACTCTGATGAGAAATCAAGATTCAAGTGTGTGGATTACTTGGGTGCTGCAGTGCTTTCACCTTGCACAGATGGTTTACTGTGATAATCAAGAAGATAGGCCAGTTATGTGTGATGATTGTCACTTGGACTGAAGCAAATTCTTCCAATGGAAAGAATATTAGATTATTAACTCGTACGAATTCGAAGGACAAGGATTGTGCAAAAAGAATACGTGATGGGATTCCATCACGAGTTTGTTTACATCTTCAATAAAGTTAAAAGCAGCTTACTGGCAAAGAAATGTCATTAACAAGAAGCACGTGAGCTAATCCATCGAAAAACTTAAAAAAGAAAAAAAANGACAGATCCACAAGTTATGGAGAAACTGAGAAAGTCAATAAAGAAAGGGAAAAAAAGGAAAGGAAAAGATCCTAAAGTCCGATTGCAGGAAATGGGCAACATGATGAAGATGCCCGAAATCCCCGGGCAAAATACAGGAGAAAATTAATGCATCTCAATATAGGCATAAATCAGCAACTGTTCATATTAAATTCGAAGCAACTGAGGATTTAGTACCAAAACAACTGTCAAATTCTCAACATATCAGTTATTGCCTAATTAGATCAACCTGCTGCAGTTAACAAAAACTAAAATCAAAAGCCAGAAGAAATAAAATATAAGGAAAACAGATTCGAAGAAGAATAAGCTAAACGTAAACCAGAGATCGGGCAAATCAACTAAATCCAAAAGAGAAAAAAG